TATGTGCCTCAGACTGGCCAGAAATGACCCACCTCAGGATCCTTGCACATGCTGAGCCCTCTGCCTGAAGCACCATTTCTCACCTCCTTCTGGCCTCTGCTCAAATGTCACCTCCCTGGAAATGGCCCCGCCCCCCACTAGCCCAATCAGCCCAGTTTGCCTGTTTCACCAGTTGACACCCGAAATCAGCTAATCCGTGTATTTGTTTACTCCTTAATCCTCACCTTCCTGTGCGAAGAGGAAGCAGGGTGAGGTGGTGCAGGGTGAGGTGGCGTTGGTCTCCCTTGTGTCCCCAACACCAGGCCCACAGCAGGTGCTCAATAGCTGCTTGTTTACACATTCAAGGGCCAATTCATCTGCTCCCCATGCCACCCAGAAACCACTTTACAGATTGGAAGACTGAGGACCCAGACGGGGCACCTGAGGCTTCCTGGACAGGCCCAATGGTGAATGGTTGCTAAGTCAGGTTGGATTGGGGGGGACCAGATTCCATTGCCCCCAATTCTGTTCCCTGAAATGGGGAATTTTGACAGTCGCTGCCCTGGGGAAAAACCACCTTCTCTGACCTGTCCCATCCCCTCCCCCAGTAACAGGCAAGAAAGGAACCTACTTCCTTAGCAAGGAAATCAAGAGGGTTCAGGGCAGAGGTGACTCAGACTGGGTGGGGCCAACTGAGTCCTCCATCCAGCAGTGGCCGCACCCCCCAAAACTCAGAGGTAGGGGGCACCCTGTTCAGGTGAAAGGTACACACCAGGCAGGTAGATACCCATTTTGGGTGTTTAATGCCTCTTAAAAGAGGTATTGTCTCTTTCTGGTACATGCCCATCTGTAGGGACCAGCAGGGCACCTGGTAAATGCCCAGAGGAAAAAAACATTAGGTAATAATAAATTGCAATAGCCCTGGTCAATGTGACTCAGTTTGTTAGCCATCGTTCCACAAAACAAAAGGTTGTGGGTTCAATTCCAGTCAGGGCACATGCATGGGTCATGGGTTTGGTCCCTGGCTGGGGTGCATTTGATAGGCAGGCAACCAATCCGTGTTTCTCTCTCACATCAATGTTTCTTTCCCTCTTTTTCTCCATACCTTCCCCTTTCTCTAAATAAATAAAAATTTTAAAATAAATAAATAACAATAAATAAGTATAATAATAATAAAATGATAAAATCCTTTAAAAATAATAATAGATGTTTAAGATAATTAAAGAATGGACACTCCAGTGCTGGGCACCTCAGGGGCACAGAGGGCACAGGGTCACTGATCCCCCAGCCACTCAGGGAAGAGGCCGCTGTTATTATCTCATTTTACAAGTGGGGAAACTGAGGCACGGAAGGGCAGAGCACATAGGTTTCTACAACACCAGGGTTCAAAGGGAATCTGCGACCCAAGGGATCCACACTCATATGGGGGGGGGGTCTACAACTATACAGGGTCTCTCCACCTGCTTCCAGCCTCCCCCCCCCCCCCCGCCCCAGGGCAGACAGGCTCCGGTTTTAAAACACCCACCAGCCCCGTTAATCTGGGTATGTAGACAGAGATAAACCACAGCCCTGTGCACTCAGGAGTGGGGTTGATAACTCAGCCGGGGATCCAGCCCAAGCTATGGGGTAACTACACAGCCTGGGGAAAGGAACACTGCGTGTGGGTAAAAACCCGGAGGACACCACATAGCGGTCGCCTCACCCGAGGGGTAACAGGCGCACAGGACCCCCAGACGGTCCAGTACCCGAGACTCTAGGGCCCCCAGGGTTCTTAAACCCACAATCGGGGTCTGCCCCTTCCACCCAGCAAATACCGGGGTGTGTCGAGAATGAGATTTCTCCGGGTAAATACGGGGTAACAATAAGTCCCCCATTCCACCCGCGTCTAGGGGGTATCACGGAGGCGGGGCGGGCTTGGGGCTGCAGCTGGGAAGGGCGTTGAGGGGAGGGAACCCCAGCGCCGCCGTGGCAGGGGCGCAACCCGCCCTCCCCACCACGCTCACTGCGTCTGCCGCCTGCCCGGAACGACCCCTGCCGTTGCCACCAACTCCTCTGAGCAGCCCTCGGGGTTCTCCAGCGCGACCATAGCTCAAATGTCGCCGTCGACGCCGCCAGGTGGCAAGGCCTTCTCTGGACCGGGCAGGAAGTGACGGACGCCCAGAGGCGGGCCGGGGCGGATCTTGGAGGCTGGTCGCGCGGGGCGGGGACCGCTCCTGGCAGGCGGCCAGACCCCAGGCTGCGGTTGGAGGGGACACCCAGCCTTCGGGGTACCTAAGGAGAAACTGACTTGGGGGTGGGGGATTGGCGGCCACAAACCCAGGCTGCGGGCATAGCGGGACACCCAGCCCTGAGGAATGAGAAACTGAGGCTTGAGTAAGGGGGACGGGAGGGGACGTCCTTTTCCGAGGCAATGGAAAGATGAAAGGACCCGTACTCCTCCTCCACTCAGCCCCCACGGGGCCTTTTGCTTCCAGCCACCTCCCAGTCTTTCATTAAAGTGTCGCCCCTGGAGCACCAGCTGGGTGCCTCAGTTTACTCATCTCTAAAATCAGGACGTCATCGCCACACCTTTTGCCTTGTAGGGCTTATTCATTAACAGAAGGCTCCAATTGCATGGGGCCGCTTCTGGGCTCTGCGGACCCGGCAGTGACCAAGACAGACCCCTCCCTCACCCAGCAGGGTGGGGAAAAGGAGCCTCGGGGCAGGGGACTGGCAATCTGCAAAAGCAGGACTAGCATGCCAGGCAGAGGGAAGGGCCAATAACCTCCAGAGTGGCAGAGCAGGGAGATGAGTAGGGGGCAGGGGAGGAAGCAGATCCCTGAGCCTGCTGGCCCTGTGATGACAGGTTTAGTTTGGGTCCTGAGGGCAATGGGCAGCCATGGGAGGGCTTACAGCACAGAATCAAACCTGCTTCAGAATCTAGAACCCACCCTTCAGTCTACAAGAAAAGTGGGAACCTACACCACAGGGATGTAACTGGCCGGACCCAGCCAGGTGCGAATTGTACAGGACCAATAACCAAATAATGTTAATAAATGGAGAACAAGGTGGGGAGAAGAGAAAAAAGGAGGAGCAATGAAAAAATCCCACCCTGGCTCAGGAGATTGAGAGCCGGCCTGGGAACCAAAAGGTCCTTAGGTTCTGTTCCTGGTTAGGACACGGGGCTGTGTTGTAGGCTAGGTCCCCAGTTGGGAGGATGTGAGAGGTAACTGATCGATATTTCTCTCACACATCAATGTTTCTCTTCCTCTCTTTCTCCTTCCCTTCCCCTTCCTCTAAAAATAAATAAATAAAAATGTTTAAAAAAAGAAACATCAATCTGTTGCCTCTCGCAGGTCCCTAACTGGGACCTGGCCCGCAACCCAGGCATGTGTCCTGACTGGGAATCGAACTGGCTACTTCTTGGTTCACAGGCTGGCACTCAATCCACTAAACCACACCAGGCAGGGCTAAATAAATAATTTTTTTTTAAAGATCCCAAAGAACTAGTACTATAGATAAATGTGCTAAGGTGCAAAAGCAATCAACAGTGATACAGGTCAGGAGAGAAGGGAGGGGTGAGGAGAGGGAGGGCTCTGGGGGCCACAAATGTTTGCCTTCCTGCTTTGGCCCATGATGTGCCGATTCTAGAGTACGCAGCCTGGGCCTTGACCTGACGGGGCCTCACTTCCTGGGACGCCTGGACTGCACCTTCTTCACATCCTCCCAGACTCTCTGCCTGTCAGTGAGCTGCTGCTGCTCCCCAGGGCCCCCACCTCGAAGGTCCAGCCACCTGCTGAATGCTCCCCCAGGCCCATTCAACTCAGCAGCTTCCCCCAGACAGTTCCTCTACACCTACCTGGTGACCGAGGGTTTCTTCACCCTAACCTGTCCCTCATTATCACCCCGCATGGATTTTTCTTCCCGTTTTGATTTTTATTCTGGTTTGCCAAGAATAACTTTGAAGGTATAAAAAGGGTGAACAGGGAAATGTTCCCCTCCCCCTGGCTCTTTGTATTTACCCTTGAAGATAGTTGATGTGCTTTGATACCCATACGTATATATTCTTTTCTCCCCTCCTCCTTGTTTTGGTCTTTTATATAAAGGATACTGTTTTTCTCTGCTGCATAGTGCTCCACAATGGTGCCATCCCAATACATTGTTGTGTGCCTCATTGGCTAGTTCCTGGGGGTCCATTTCTAAGTGTGGATTTTGGGTATCAACAGTACCCTTTGTAAACTGCCCACCACCTGGTACCTGCCACCAGCGGCACAGGTGTCTATGTGCCCTATTGTTTTTTTTAAGATTTTATTTATTTATTTTTAGAGGCAGGGGAAGGGAGAGAGCAAGAGAGAATGAGAAACATCAGTACAAGAAAGAAACATCAACTGGTTGCCTCTTGCATGCGTCCCAACTGAGGGCTGACAGAATCTGCAACCCAGGCATGTGCACTGGCTGGGAGTCGAACCCTGGGAGTCGAACCCTGGGAGTCAAACCCTCCACTTTTTGCTTCAAGGGATGACGCCCAACCAACTGAGCCACATCCATCAAGGAGAGAACAGGCATCTTCTAACCCCCAGAACCCTGGGGCTGTGAGCCTGTATCCCCTGGTCAGGCTGGATCTTTCCACAGCAGCCTCCACACAGCTGACCCCACCCCAGCTCCGTCCCAAACCCTCCTCCAGTCCGTCTCTTCCAGCGCTCTCGCCCTGACCATTCAGCGGGAGGAGGGAATGGGGGAGAGGGTTACTGTGCAGGTGGATGGAGGGGGTGCCAGCAGGGGAAGGAGTGGCAAGCAGCTGTAGGAGAGACAGGAAGGAGGGGACAAGGGAAGAAGCGGGTATAAATGCTAGGTGGCTGCTGCACAAGCAGAGGCGCAGCTGAGGCCCGCGGAGTCACCCTCCAAATCCCGCCTAGGCTTCCAGCCTAGACTTTTCTCAGGCTCTGCAGGTGCATCCTAGCAGGTGGCCAAGAAGAGGGTCTCCACGGAGAGCCCCGGGCGCAATCCCAGAGGGCAATCAGTAGGAAGAGGGCTGCAAAGCCATGCGCACCTTGGCCAAGTCTGGGCCCAACGTGTCCTGGTGGGCACTGGCCAACGCATCTGGCTGTCCAGGCTGTGGCACCAATGCCTCGGACGGCCTGGCTCCTGCGTTGTGGCCCGTGGATGCCTGGCTCGTGCCGCTCTTCTTTGGTGTGCTGATGCTGCTCGGCCTGACAGGGAACTTGCTTGTCCTTTTCGTCATCTGTCGCCACAAGCAGATGCGCACGGTGACCAACTTCTACATAGGTGAGCACCCAGTCATCGCGCAGTGCCTGCCCGCCTGCCACTCCCACAGCCGGCCTCTTAGTGGTGCCACTGAGCCCTCCCAGGGAAGAGTCTCTCCCTTGCAGGTCTCCGGTCCTTTTCCTGTTGTCCCTGCACCTTAGGTGAGAGGTTGCAAACTCTGGCATTGGAGGGTTCCTGGGGGCCTGCCCGGGCCGCAGTAGTTAAAAGGGAGGTTGGAGAGTGTGGCTTGGAGAGCTTGCCCCTGCCGCTCCAGGTAGATGTCTGATTTAAATGTAGTTCTTATGTCACAGTATCCAATGAAGAAAAGCAAGGGGGAGAGGGACTGCTTGTCCTGCCTGGGTCCTAGTTTGCATTCTTTGCCACAGTGGCTCTGGTTTGCACACTCATGTGATGGGGCGGCCTACTACACAGGCGAGTGCTCAGGCAGTGTTCTCCATTCTATGGTGGGTGTTGAGGGGGCACCACTGTCTCCAATTTGCAGATGAGTAAACTGAGTCCCAGAGAGGCCAGGGCCTGCTCAGGCTCTCCCAGACCTGATGGGGTGAGCAGGGCCCCATCAGGTTGCATAGTTATGAGACCTATGTAGGAGGATGTTTGAAATGTAAAAGGGGAAGACTGGAGGGCGCATGCAGTGAGCCTTCCGGAGCCGTCCTACTGGTCACTCAGACAAAGAAGAGTGCTAGGGAGCTGGACCAGAAGCACTGGATGGCTGAGGCCCAGGGCCTCACCTCCGGTGCTCCCACATTATCTGTTTGCAGCCAACCTGGCAGCCACAGATGTGACCTTCCTGCTGTGCTGTGTGCCGTTCACTGCCCTGCTCTACCCTCTGCCTGCCTGGGTGCTGGGTGACTTCATGTGCAAGTTTGTCAACTACATTCAGCAGGTGAGCTGGGGGCTCGAGGAGAGGAGCTGGGGAACCACACGGGGTGTGGTCTGGGTGTGTGGGTGGGCTGGACCTTGGTTGGGGCAGGGGAGGATGGGCCCCAGCTCTAGAAGGTGGGGGTGGGTATAGAATTTGGTGGGTGGGGCTAAGAGGAGGTGTAGCCTTGGCAGAGGGGGGGCAGAGGACACAGGCAGTGGGGAGGGATACAGGATACAGACAGGCACTGGGAGTCGGTGATGGGCACAGGGGGGGAGATCCAGGTTCTTGCCCTAGGATGGCTCTGCCTCTCTCTGTCTCAGTCTCTGGGTCTCAGCAGACCCCGCAGTGGTCCTCTCAGGCCCCCACCATCCTGGGGTCCTGTCTAGTATAGCTCTTCTCCTGCCCCGTCAATTTTGAGGCACCTGAAGACCCTCCCAGGACACACCCTGTATGTGCCTGAGTGGTTAGAGAGGTGTGTGTGTCTTTGTGGGGGGTACTCAAAATGTGGGCACGGACAAGGCAGACCTCAGATGGTGCAGGGGGAGGGGGCACATACCAGCTCCCAGCACTCCCAGGTCTCGGTGCAGGCCACCTGCGCCACCCTGACTGCCATGAGCGTGGACCGCTGGTATGTGACAGTGTTCCCTCTTCGAGCCCTACACCGCCGCACGCCCCGCCTGGCGCTCTTTGTGAACCTGTGCATCTGGGTGGGTGAGTGCAGCGCTGGGGCACACGGGTGGGGGGACAAGTCCTCTTGCCCTTGGCACCTTCCTACTTACCGCCCCTCTCTGGGTCTCGGTCGTACATCTGGGAAATGGGCCCAATAGCGCTCCCTGTGAAGAACCGCTGAGGGCGCAGACTGGGGAGGCACCTGGGAGACAAGGGCCCTGGCCCTCTCGTGCACCTCTTCCCCTGGCAAGGCCTTCAGCTGTGCCTGTGGTGCAGGCTCCGCAGCCGTGTCGGCTCCGGTGCTCGCCCTGCACCGCCTCTCGCTGGGGCCGCCCACCTACTGCAGCGAGGCCTTTCCCAGCCGCGCTCTCGAGCGTGCCTTTGCGCTCTACAACCTGCTGGCACTCTACCTACTGCCGCTGGTCGCCACCTGTGCCTGCTACGGGGCCATGCTTCGCCACCTGGGCCGGGCTGCCCTGCTCCCGACGCCTACCGACAGCGCCCTGCAGGTGCGACGCTGCGTGGGTGGGGGGCACGGCCAAGCTGGGAAGAGGGTAGACCCAGCTGGGAGGAGGCACATCCGGAGGAATCTAAGGAGGTGACCCAGTGGGGGAATCTGAGGGGGCCAAGGAGGGGAACCATGAGAGGGTGTCCCATAGCCCATCCTTCACCTCCCCCCACCCCCAAGGGGCAGCTGCTGGCGGAACGAGCGGACGCTGTGCGGGCCAGGGTGTCACGGCTGGTGGCGGCCGTGGTTCTGCTCTTCGCTACCTGCTGGGGCCCCATCCAGCTGTTCCTGGTGCTGCAGGCGCTGGGCCCGGCTGGCTCCTGGCACCCGCGCAGCTACGCAGCTTACGCGCTCAAGATCTGGGCGCACTGCATGTCTTACAGCAACTCAGCCCTGAACCCGTTGCTCTACGCGTTCCTGGGCTCGCATTTCCGTCAGGCCTTGCGCCGGGTCTGCTCCTGCTCTCCTGCGCGCCCCCAGCGTACCCCGCCGCCGGGACCCTCCGGCCACACCGCCCTCCCCACCTCGAGAACGCTGAAGCCCGGGAGCTGCGAGTTCGGGCCCTGCGGGCTGTGCGCCCTGAGGGAACATGCTGCCCCTCCCTGAGCTGACTCGGGCGGCATGGATGGAGGTGGGCCCCTCGGGAACAGGTGTTGCTTGAACAGCAGCTGCCATTATTCTGTTATTAATGTCTTTATTTTTGTCCAAGGTAATCTTTTTGAAAATGTTGTGTTCTCTTATAACGTCTGGTACAAATTGGCTGTGATGTTTGCTGGTCTTGCTATCATGATGATTATTTCTACATTTCCTGAAATTGAAGATGCTTTGATGCTGGCACCGTCTGAAACGTTCCCGGAAGCATCAATAGATTCAATAGACGTTTTTACACACTGCCTCGTAGTTGACTGTACAATTGTAAGATTCATCCCATTGTCAGTGAAATTAAAATGTGAATACATTGTGCCTCTTAAAATTGGTGGAACAGGTTGTTTTGGTACCTGGTGAGTGTCTAGCATCCTGGCTGGGAAAACCTCCCTGGGGCACAGTGCATAGAGCTGCTGTGCAAGAGTCCAGACTGATCCCTGTGTAACAAGCCAGCCCAAACAGAGGGTCTTAGAACTGCAGCCATATATTATCTCTTACTATTCTGTGGGGTGATGGGACTCAGCCTGGCGGTGCTGTGACCATGTCGTGTTGGCTGGACCAGGAAGTCAGTTAGAAGACTTTGCTGTAGTGGCCAGTGGCTGAGCGCTCCTCTGAGGGCCATTGGGCTTCCTTCCTGCATGGTGGTCGGGAAAAATCAGATGTTCCTTGGCAGAAACTACTGAGAAGAGGCAAAAACTACATGCTTCCTGAGACCTGGACCCAAGAATCCCAAAATGTCAGTTTTCCACGTTGAGCTGTCAGAGTCCCACCCAGATTCCTCAAGGTGGGTGGGAACCCCTCCTCCTGGTGGGTGGGGCTGCATGTGCCTGCTGGTGGGCATAGTGCAGCCTCCCCAGCAGCCCTGCAGGACCAAGGCTTCGTGGCACTGAAGGAGAGCTGCCCACGCCTTGAAGAGCCCCAGTCCTCCCAGATTATTTGGGCACATGGCTCTCCAAACAACCCAGGTTTGCAGAGATATTAATGTGAGACCAAGTCTGGAACGTTATGCCGTTTGACATCAGCCTAAAGCTTGTTTGTTCTGGTCTTCAAGACCCGCCTCCAGACTAGGTTGGATGTGAGGGTGAAATTCTTTTTGCTCATGGGCCCTGCCCACCTCCCTCTCCTCCCCCGACTTCCCCCAAATCACTACCTCCCTGTGGCTCCCTGAACCGCTGCCATTCTTCTTACATCTGGGCCTTCACACATGCAGTTCCCTCTGTTGTGCCAGGTGTCCCCTCTCTCACCCATCAAGTCTCAGGTCTGCTGCGTCCGCCCCTGGGAAGTCCTCCCAGGGCCCTCCAGGCCGGGTCAGGCACCCCATCTGGCTTCCCATCACAGCTCTAACATCCTTATACTGTACCGTCTGGGTCTCACTTGGTCTCTCAGGTGTCCCCAGGGCCCAGTGCACAGTAAGGCTGAATAAATATTTGTGGAATGAATAAGCAGGCGTGTTGTGGCATTAAAAAAGGAAGTACGTGCGAGTGGTAGGATTTCTCTGTGAAAAAGGAATTTAAAAAATAATCTAAGCCCTGGTTCGTGTGGCTCAGGGGATTGAGCGCTGGCCTGCGAACCAGAAGGTTGCTCGTTTGATTCCCAGTCAGGGCACATGCCTGTGTTGCGGGCCAGGTCCTCAGTTGGGGGCGTGTGAGAGGCAACCACGCATTAATGTTTTTTTCCCTCTTTCTCCCTCTCTTCCCCTCTCTCTAAAAAGTAAATAAATAAAATCTTTTTTAAAAGAATAATAATTTAAGAGGGCCTTGGCTGTGTGACTCAGTTGGTTGAAGCATTATCTTGTACACCAAAAGACTGCAGGCTCGAGGCTTGGTCAGGGCACATACCTAGGCTGTGGGTTTGATCCTCAGTAGGGGTGTGTACAGGAGGTGCCCAATCGATGTTTCTCTCTCACATTGATGTTTCTCTCTCTCTCTCCCTTCCTCTCTCTCTAAAATCAATGGACATATCCTCAGGTGAGCAATTTAAAAATAATAATAATTTCACGAGGGTTGGTCTCTTGGGCATCTATCTCAGAGAAATGAAAACTTCCACTCATGCAAAAACCTGTACATATGTGTTCATAGCAGCTGTACTGGTGAAAACCCCAAACTGGAACCAACCAGCTGTTCTTCAACAGGTCATGGGATAACAGACAGTGGGCCAGCCACACCAGAAGCTATGACTCAGGAGAAAAAGTTATGGACACACTATAGATACAAGCAATACATTGGATGGATCTGTGGGAGTGACATGGAGTGGGAAGGGTTATCCCGAGGTTCATGATGTGTGATTCCAGCCATTAACATCCAGGAGGTGGCAACATTACAGGAATGAACAGCCGATTAGTGGTGGTCAGGGGTGAAGGGTGACGGTGAGGAGAGGAAAGTGTGTGGGTGACATGAAGGACTTTTTTGAGGGACTGGTCTGTCCCTGGACTTTGGTGGTGGATTCATAAACTTACTCAGGTGATAAAATCATGGTGAGCAAAACAAACATACATTAGAAGAAGTAAAATGGGGAAATCAAATAGGACGGCAGGATTGCGTCAATGTCAATATCCTGATTGCAATATTGTACTACGGTTTTGTAAAATGTTACTCATGGGGGAAGCTTGGTGAGGGTATGAGGGAGCTCTCTCTTCATTAGAATCTACAATCATCTCAAAATGAAAAGTGAAAAAAGAAAAGATGAAGTTAAAGGGAAGGAACATTCAGAAAGGAAAATCATTTAAAAATTGCAGATGCAGGGTGTGCTCTTCATTTATGTTCATGTTCATTCAGCTACACACTGTTTTCAGAGACCCTACTGAGTGTCAGGCTCGGTGGTAGGGGCTGCGGTCACACAGGAGCAATGGGCAGCCCCCGCCTCTGCCAGTATGCAGCCCCTGTCTAGTGGATGACGGGGCCAGTAAGTGGCAAACTACCTAGAGAGATGCAATGTGACAGCACTGAAAAGGGTTATGAAGGGAAAATGTATGCATTGTAAATAACTGGAAACCTGACTTCGGTGGGGAAGAGTCCAGGAAGGCTTCCTGGGGGAGGTGAGTCCAGGAAATGTGAACTGAACTCAGAAGTGGGGGAAGAGCACGCCAGATGGAAGGCACAAGCGGGTGCAAAGGCTCTAAGACAGGATGTAACTGGTGGATTTGAGAAATCGCTTGAGGCAGATGGGCTGGAGGGGAATGAGGAGGGGACCCTCCCCTTGCCCCCTTCCCTTATAACAGAGGGAAATGTAGTCCTCAAAACTATTATGTGAGGAATGGATCAATATTGACCCATTCTACAGAAGGGAAAACTGAGACACAGGGAGGTCCATGCACTTGCTTGGGGTGGGGCAGGGGTGTGTTCTGATCTGTTTGGGTCTTTCTGGGTGTGGAGGGAGCTTCCCTGCACTTGGGAGACTGAGCCGGGCGCCTGGCCCTTTATAGGTGGTTTCCCTCCCCAGCTCATCTGAGTCTCTAAACACTCCCTCCCCAGGCTCCTCCCTCTGGGGTTGGGGGGGCAACAGCTGGGGCTGGGTGTTTAACAGCTTAAAGGTGGAGCATTATCTTGTTAATGCTCCCTGCTACCTGCTCACTCCCTGCTCCCTGTGGCCTTTAGACTACAGGCAGCCCTGGGGCTAAAGGCTGGGATGGAGAATGGGGCAAAGAGGACTTGGGCCCAGAGGTGGTGGGGGCAGCTCCCCTGGACCTGTCTCCTGGGCTTGGGACACCCCTGGACAGAGGGCCTGCAATCTGGGGCACAATTTGGGGGAATGGCCTTGAGAAGATGGTACTTTAGGGTTTGGGTCGCACAAGACCGTACATCAACACTCAAGACCAGGGACCCCAGTCCCTGAGGAGGAGAGATGGAGGAGATGAGAAGGGAAATCTTGCCAACAATGGGGATGAGTTGGGTCGTTCCCCAAGCTGAAGGGAGCCACGGGAAGCTTCTTAGCAAGGAGGGACATGGTCCAAGGTATGTGGAGATCACTTTCAATTTATTATTTCGTTATTGTGACTATTCTTCTAATTTTTGGGGCTGCCAGGGCCAGGCATATGGCAGTACAACCCATGGCGGGGGGCGGGGGGCGGTGAATGGGCCCCAGGGCCACGAGATGGGGATAAGCCATAGGGGTCTGGGTGGGAAGGGAGAAAGGTTAATTTTATTTTCAGATAAAAAAGGAAAAAAATTTCCATGCAGTATTTGGGATATATCTAAAAGTATTCTTTAAAAAAAATAAAGATTTTATTTATTTATTTTTAGAGAGAAGGAAAGGAGGGAGAAAGAGAGGGAGAGAAACATCAATGTGTGGTTGCCTCTTGTAGGCCTCCAACTGGGGACCTGACCACAACCCAGGAATGTGCTTTGACTGGGAATCGAACCAGAAACCCTGTGGTTCACAGGCCAACACTCAATCCACTGAGCCACATCAGCCAGGGCTAAAACTATCCTTGTTTATATGAAATTTAAATTTAACTGCCATTACTATATTTTAGCTAGCAACTCCACCTTGGAGCATTCAGAAAGCGCTACAAAGGAGAGAAAAAAAAAACTCCGTGGGCCTCAGTTTCCCCCGCTGACCCAGGAAACTGGTTTTCAGAGGAGACGGCCGTCACCTAGCGGCCTCCGGTGGGAGCCACGGTGCGACGATTCAGGTCCCGCCACGCGGCTGCAGCTCCACAGGTGCCCGGCAGATGGCGCACGCACCCCACGGAAATTCCTAGCTTCCCTGGCACCCACCCAAATCAGTCCCCCAGCGTCTAGGGGAATATCACTCATGCGTAGGCCAACCTGGACCCTCACTTCGCTGAGAGTTTCCTTGCTGCAAAATGGGTCAAGCAGAATCACGCTATTCATTTCCCTGGTCTTAGGAATTTTCTTTCGTGGGCTCCTTTTTATGAACACATATTTTTAAAATTACACTTTACAGCTGTGCTGGTTGGTATAAAGGCGAATATACTCCTGACTGCCGTGGCTCAGTGAATT